GGGGGGGGGGGTTCTCTGGCGTCTTCAGGCTTTCTAGTCTCCCAGCTGCTTCTGACACAGAGAAGCCCAGGGGACCCTGACAGGCAGACGCGGGAAAAGGTGCACAGGGGTGGGGGCGGGGGCGCTGGCTGGCAGCTGCTTCTGCCAGATGCTGGTCCCAAACCTGCTGGGGTCCAGAGCCCCATCACTGGGTGAGGTGGGGGCCTGTACGTGGTGTGTGGCAGGAGTCAAGAAAGTCATGCCTCAGAGTGCCTGCCCCCAGCAGGGTCAAGGGTGAGCCTGAGCCCTGCACTAAGGCCCGCCTCCTCTGCACTTTCTCCCCCATCTCCAGGGGTGAAGGGGGCCCCACCAGTCCCTACCCTTCAGGACCGAGCCCACCACGCCCGTATGATGCCCTCCCACCCCTCCCTAGAGCCTGTGCCCCGTCCAGCCCTGTCCCCAGCCCCGAATTCAGGTCCACATTTTCAACCTGGTCTCTGCAGACCCCTCACCTCGCTGCCCACCCACGACCCCTCCACCAGCCCAGTGTGGGCTCAGGTTCCCAAACTGCTGGCCTGGAGGTGGGCAGGGCCCGCACCTCACACGTGCTCCCTCCTCCCCGAATTCCCGTGTGGACGCTCCCTTCCTCTGACCAGACCTCCCACCCCCCAGCCTCCCTGCAGCCCTGCCGGGTCCGCCTCAGGATTCCCGCCTCCCTCGCAGCCCCAGAGGGTCCCTGAGCTCAGCTGCCCCCTCCCACCGGCCCACCTGGGGCTCTCCGTCGCTGCAGCCCTCACCCCCACCCCGTCCATCCTTGCAGGTCACGCCCTCCCCCTGACGAGCCCTGCCCACTGGGGGCCTCTGGTCCCCGGTCCCTTCATCCCGGCTGGAGGAGCTTGGCCTCCAACTGGTCTCTGTCCCCCTTGACCGTGAGCCTCAGGGGGGTCACGCGGGCCCCGTGCGGGCACTTGCTCCTCCCCCGGCCCAGCTCCTTCCTCATCCTCTCCTCGGGCCCCACCTCTGCCCCATCCTGCCTCCCAGCCCAGGACCCCTGGCTGGCTCCCGGAGGAAAAGTGGCAGCTGGAAGGGGGTCCCCGCCTCCTCCCTGGGAACGCGCCCGCACCCGCGGGGCCCACCTGGGCCTGGCGCTGCCCCCTCCTCATCCCCACGTATCTCCCTGGGGTGCTCCCTCTAGGTATCACTTCCCCCCTCGAAACACATGTTTGTCTTCGCATCTTGAACAAAGCACTGCCCTCCTGCACCCACACCATTTCTTTGTTCCCCTTTGCAGCAAGACTCCTTGAAAGGATTGCCAGTACTCTGCGTCTCTGTTACCTTTGCTGGGTGCTTTTTACAAACTACAGTATGATTCACATATCATAAAGTTCATTTTTAAAGTGTACGATTCAGTGTTTTTGTCACATTGACAGAGTTGTGCAGCCATCACCACTAACTCATCCCCCGCTGCAGTCACTCCCTGTCACGCCTCCCCCAGCCCCGGGCAACCGGTGGTCCAGTCTCTGGATTCACCTCTTTTGGACAATTCATATAAGTGGAATCATTAAGCATTTGATTTGTGTCTGGCTTCTCTCCCTCGGCATCATGGTTTGGAGGATCATTCACGTTGTAGCGTGTGTCAGTTCTTCAGTCCTTTTAAGGCAGAATCACATGCTGTTGTGTGGATGGACCGATTTTGTTGATCCGCTGATGGGCATTAGGGTTTTGCTTCCACTGTTTGGCTCTTGTGAATCACACTTGTGTGCACGTGTTTGTGTGGCCGTGTGTTTTCCATTGTCTTGGGAGCCGGGTCAGGTGGTCACCGTGTGTAGCTTTTTGACTGTTTTCCCATCGTGCTTTTTACTCTGAATCCTGCTCCAGGTGGCCTTCCCACCAGGGTTCCACCCAAGCACTTGTCAGGGTTTCTGGTGGCTTCCTTGTGGCTTGTCTGCCTGTCAGTGCCTGGCCGGCCCTGCCTCTGTGCACTCACCACCCAGGGTCCCGTTGTTTGAATTACTCTCTGGGTGTTCTCTGTGCTCACTACTTTTCAACTTTTCTATTTCCATAATAAAAAGATGAAAAAAGTACCATCCCTGTGCCCGCCAGTTTACACGGATTACTGTTGTGGCTCTGCTCCTAATAGCACAAAACTGGAAACAGCCTAGATGCCCTTCAGGGGGCGCTGGTCAAACAGACTGTGCGTCCACATTGAGGGAGCCCACTCAGCAAAAAGGATGAGCCCTGGGCACACACAGCAACTTGTGTGCATCTCAAGGGAGTGTGCCGAGTGAACACAGACCCTGAAAGTCCAGACTGTGTGGTTCCATCTATGCAACTTGCTTGAAATGACAAATGATGTGAATGGAGATCGGATCAGCATTCTCAGGAGTCACTAACAGATCAGCGACTTGGGGCAGCTGTGAAAGGGCAACAGGAGGGCTCCATGGGGCTGGAGCGTTCCGGTTTTCGACTGAATCAACACAAGGTCCTGGTTGCGATTTGGGGTATATGTGTATGGGTATATGGGACATCTATTATTATTTCTTACAAGTATATGTATATCTACAGTTATCTCAAATAAAATGTTTAATTTTTTAAAATCCTTAAGAAGATTTCAATTACAAGTTTTTCTATTTTACAGATAGCCTGAAAATTGGAGTGATTAAATGACCTCTAAGATTATTCCAGCTCTAAAATTCAATACTTTAGAGGTTGTTTAGAAAAACTTCCTTGTATCTGAGCTAAAATCTATTCCCCAGGGGACTTCCCCGGTGGTCCAGTGTTAAAGAATCCGCCTTCCAATACAGGAGAGACAGGTTCGAGCCCTGGTGGGGGGACTAAGATCCCACGTGCTGCAGAGCAGCTAAGCCCGTGCACCACAACTACTGAGCCCGTGCACCACAACTACTGAGCTTGTACGGCCACAACTACAGAGTCCACGGACCACAACTAGAGAGAGAAAACCCACACACCACAACTAGAGAGAAGCCCGCGCGCCACAAGGAAGACCCCACGTGGCCAAAAATATAAATAAATAAACTCTATTCCCCAGTAGCTGTGGAGGTGCCTGGGGCGGCTGGGGCCCAGAGAGCCCCAAGCCAGCCTTGGTCAGGACACTGGCCACTGCCGCAGGTGAGAACTTCCCAGGATCCTCCTCCGTGGGGGTGGGGCTGCTGAGATTGGTAGGATCCCATGATTCGTAAATCAGTAGAGGCCGGCACAGGGGCCGTGTCCTGAGTGAGGACAAGACTCAGTGGCCAGCTTGGCGCTGGAACTTACTTCCAGAAGAGTTCAG